GAGCAGGCTGGGGAGGCACAAGGATTTGGGAGGGGACACAGCTGGGACAGCTGACCCCAGCTGACCCAAGGGATATTCCACACCATACGACATCATGCTCAGCATATAGAGCTGGGGGAAGAAGAAGGAAGGGAGGGATGTTGGGAGCGATGGCGTTTGTCTTCCCAAGTAACCGTTACGCGTGATGGAGCCCTGCTCTCCTGGAGATGGCTGAACACCTGCCTGCCCATGGGGAGCAGGGAATGAATTCCTTGTTTTGCTTTGCTTGCATGAGTGGCTTTTGCTTTACCTATGAAACTGTCTTTATCTCAACCCACGAGTTTTCTCACTTTTACTCTTCTGATTCTCTCCCCCATCCCACCAGGGCAGGGGGAGCGAGCAAGAGGCTGTGTGGGGCTTAGTTGCCAGTTGGGGTTAAAGCACGACACACAGTAATTACCTGTAAATCACTCTGCTCAGTTCAAAGGGTCACTGGTTTGTACAGCTAGTGGAAAAGAAAGCCAAAGCTTTATAACCACTCTGTCAATCAGTAAAGCGTTAAGTCTCACTCTTTTTGCAAAGCCATATGTAGGCCTGTTACTGGAGAGCCTCAGCTGTACAGAGGCTGTCTGGGATTTTTTTTGGACACTGGAGTAGTAGGAGTTTCACAGCTTGTAGAGTAGGGGACTAGTAGTGGGTAATTTGAAAAAAATAATGATGCCAAAGCTTAGGCTTGGTTGTCAGGGAAGCTGAGAAAATTCAAAGCAAAAGCAGTTATCAGCAAGAAAAAACAAAAAGCAGGATATTTGAAATAGATTTGTTTAGTTCATTCTCGGGAACTACAGGAAAAAAAAAAGAGAAGAGAAATTGCTTTTAACCTGGGAGATTTGACTCTTTCAGCAGCCCCACAAGAGGGGGAGGCAGTAGAGGGATAAGCACCTGATACTGCCTTGAAGAGAAACATCCATAAAACCACATCTATTTATTTAAAGAGAACTGAGCACAAGTTTTCCCGCCACCTTCCCTGCAGCTGACTCTGGAGAGTACATCAGGAAAATCAGTGCTCAGCTTTGGAACCTGAAAAGTCTCAGTGTGAACCGGGTTAGGCTTTATGCCCTAGATTCTGACCCACATAAAACATATAACATGCACCTACTCTGAGAACCAGGTTTCTCTTTCAAGCAACCAACTATTCCATAGAGGTTGAAGACCTTTGGTTCACCAATGATCTCAAAACAAAAATAACCTCCTCAGAGCAAGCAGCATACAGCACAATGCCATTCTTAGATGTGTGAAAAGAGCATGTGTAACTCAGCACTATATAGCCCTTGTTAGCCAACAGAGCGCTGGCAAATACAACCAAAACCTAGTTGGGCTGCCTAAGCTATTTATTTGGGTCTCTATTGGCCTATGCGTAACATAGGAAGAACACTACACATATCCTGCTCATCTGTTTATTTAATGCAAGTGCTATGCACCATATGCCTATCAACTGAGGAACTCTTCCAAAACATGGAGTGCAGCTTGAGGCCCTGTCCCAGTGCTCTCCATTATAGTTTAGTGGGACGTCCGTGCACAAGGAAGGAAAGGCACACCCAAGATTTAATACTGTTACTGTTTTAATCCATATAGGTAGAGAAACTTCATTTGGCTGTTTAAGGCACTTAGGTTTTTGCAAAGCTTCCATGCTTTTGGTCTTCCGGCAGTCACAGTAATCTTATCAAAAATACTAATCAGATCATAGCCGCATAAAGATACATCCTTCTGTTTTCCTAAAGGCAGTATATTCTTCAAATATACTTTTTTATACCTGGTAGTAGTTTACATAAATTTTAAACAAAGACAGCTGTGACAGCTGTTCTGGACATGCTATACATCCTAAAGCAAGATGTTTAAAGAGGCAGATGTTCTTCCTTAGGTTGAGGGTATTATGCCTAAAGCTTTCTGTTTGGTAAACGTACTAGGATAAGAGTACAGATTTTAAAAACATTCTCTCAAAATAGTTGTATAAATGTACTTCACTTAATTTCTAATTTAAGAGGCGCTTGTCCTTAATCCAGTAAATGTTTATTTTCAAGCTTTCAGTTCTACAACTTGCATTTATGTGCTACCAAATTTTATAGTTGAATACTTCTTTCAATGGAATGTAACTTCAAAGACGTAGCTTTTTTTAAAAATCACAGTTTAAAGGCTTTTTTTAAAGATTCTTTAAACTACCCATTCAAACAAACCAAGGGAAGGAAATCAAATGCCACAGGAAGTTGCAAGTCAGGAAAAGGACAGGACTCAAGAACACTTTTGTTTTTACTTCCTGGTCACGAAAAACAAACAGAGATACTTTGTAGAGACAGCTATTTAGAATAGACACTACTGTAAACTTCTAAGTACAGATAATCCTTCGATGCATATGCTCACCTAAATAACATGGTCTGGTACAACCCTAAGAAAGGCTGATTTGTGAAGAAGAATTAGAATAGGGAAACTTCATGAAAAGTAAGCATGTAGATCTCTTTGTATCACCACCAATCACAAAAAAAGGATTATGAGCACAAACTAATGTCAGCCAGTGTCTTCTGTTACTTTAAAAATGCTAAACCCAAGAAACAGTAAAACTGGACAAACTTCCTCATTCCACCGTGAGTGCTTTGGATTCCTGACTATAGATACTATGAAGTACGTTTCTGCCTAGATACAATATCTATGCTGGCAACTCACTTAACAGCAGAGAATGCTGTTTCATTGAAAATCAGGTAGTGCCCTGTAGCAAATGAGGTAACAGGAATTTATGGGCAGTACAAAAGCTTTTCCCACATTGCACAGCAGTTTTGTAGCACGAAGCATAAGACAACTGAATGATTACAAGTAAACATCTAGAAATTCTTTTTTGTGCCATTAAATGAGGTTACCACTGGCTCACCTTCCTCAACTACAAAATATACAAAATCTCAGTGAATCAACCCTCAAAAGGCATTAGTGCTGTGTGTAGGCTTAGGGAAGTAGTTGCACTGAGGTAATTACATATAAATTACCTGAGAACAGATATATTTCCTTTCAGTCCAGCATGCCTGTGTGTTCACCACTGTTATATCGGTGTAAGTTTTCCTACTATTCATAAGCACTTAGAAAAAAATGGGGTTTTTTTCTGAAGTTTTTACAGTGTTACTACCTTCCAAGTTGTTTCTGGAGATCCAACATATATTGGTAACATTGTGCATAATAGGTCATCTGAGCTTCAACAAAATCATTCAGACAGCGAAGATGATGTGCCTAGAATACAGCAAAGAATTCAAGTTTTTAGTCTGTAAAAGTACTATGCTGCATTAGAAAGACTGGTCTCCTAATCAGGTGCTAATGCCAATATTGGCACATAGGGATTTATACCACGTAGGCATAGTGCCTGGATTTACCAGGTAACTGGGATAAAATGTCACAAAAATTAACATATTTGAGCACAAAAAATATGTGCTGTACAAGCATTTACTTAAGCATTTAATTAATGCTTTACATAAGCATTTACTTATATTGTTTCCACAACAGAATCAGTATTTTAGCACATTTTTGTGGTTTCAACACTCAGTTGGTCTGATGAATGGGAAGTTGTGTTTAAAGGATAAAAATGAAAGTGCCTGCATTGTCAAGGTTAACAGGAAACTAAAGTTAAATTCAGTGGATACTAAACTAGAATTAAAAAATATAAAGACCCCACAGTTGTTCGATGCTTTAAGGCATTAAAGTGAAAACTTGTAGCCCAAAGTTCCCAAGGAGCTTACTGTAGTTATTTTTAGAAAGTGCCCTGATTTTGACACTCCCCTTCTACCCCGTCAGGGTACTCACATGTGTGCTGCTGATTCCTTCCAGCAGAAGTCTGGTAATCTCCGCTTGACGGTCAAATTCACTCTGAGTAATTCGTACTTCCTGTTCAGACTAAAAGTAAGGATGCACCTTAGGTATTTGTACAATGCACTCTATTACACCTTCCGACTGCAACAGTTCCATTTTATTCAGAGCTACTCATAGAAATGCCTTAACCACAAGCTTAGGTATTTGACACATGTACTTTTCTTTGCAGATCTTTACTAAGCAACACGAGTAATTGCATTTTGGGTTCAGAAATGGTCAGGCCCTGTATACACAACAAACAGCTTTATCATCAGACACATAGAGTCAATGCATGCAGAAGGAAGGCATTTTTCTGCCAGCATAGCAGTGGCAGCCAAGGACAATGTCATTTTTTTCCATACTTAAGTTAACTGGGCTCTGACCAAATAATTTAGGGTAAACCTCATATTATTTGGTCAGGTAACTGCACGGCAATCAGCCGTACATAAACTTTTGATGGTAAGTTTTAATGGGCTATTTCACAAATCAATGTCTCATACTGGCCACCAAGCTACTACAACTATTTCTGGAGCTTGTAATCGAGGTGTGTTTAAAAATAAATAAATCCAAACTATAGCAAATGTTCTAACTTCAATTAGAGTAAAATTTCTATTTAAATGATTGGATTTAAGTTTCGTATTTAAATAACTCCAAATTTATTCCTTGTTACATATTGTTATCAGCAATTTTTACGTTCGTTAACAACACTATAGCAGTTTTAAAGAACTCCCCTCCAGCACAAGCTGAAATTACTTCAGAGTATTTGTTTTGGGAAAAAAAAAATGGACACTACTCAAAACACACAAATATATAAAAATATGTGTTGTAACATCTAAGATTTACTGTTCCAAGACAGAATGTCCTCAGCCTGGAATCTGGATTACCTTGCCTCGATGCTTATATGCGTTTAGTACCTTGTTTCTAAAAACAAACCGAAGGGCAAAAATCTGCGTGAAGACCCAAGATACAGCACTTACCGTTCCCAACAAAACTAAGGAAATATGTTTTCAGGAAACTTAATGAGGTGATACAGATAAAACATTGGGTTCAAAAGGATTTTATGTGTTTGCAAACATTCTGCTCTTGCATTCCACTAATGTTAATCAATACGAAAAGTCGCATGGAAGGATCTTAATCTCAGAAACGAGCACAGAAGAACGATGCAGTTACCCAAGAAATGTTTTTCATGTGAAGTCACTGCAGCTGGGAAGGCTTACACATTAATTAAACAGTGAGGAAGCAACTATAGACTACTGTGTGTTTCTTACTTAAAACTGAGATACCAGTGTCTGTATCAAGTTACAAACTAATTAGGTTTTCAAAGTTTGTTGAGGCAAGAATCTTTGCTTGGAATTTTCCTATTAAACCTGTATTAATATCAGTGAAATCCATCTGGCAGTCCCTGAGAGAAATGTAAGAACAAACAGGGGGAAAAAAGCAAATGTGATAGCCAAGAGGGGAAGAAAAGCACTCCCTTCTGTATCAGCAACATCTTAATTTCCTTAAAAAAAACCAGCAAAATCATAGGTAAACCATTTATCTGGAGATAAATAGTCTAGTCTTTTGCTTCTCTGAAGCTAATGTGTTTCTTTCTTCCCACCAGGTAAGTAAATCCAGGAGAACAGGAACTTATAAGAAGGGGAAATATCCATGAGAATAAAGTATTGTTGAAACAAACAGAATTAGCAAATCAACTACTTTCTTATAGAAAGGGCAAAGCAAGTAATGTGGTAACATGTGGTAACAGTACAGAGTGACTTTAAATACATTGCTTTACAAAAGCCCAGTGTGCTGGTTTTGTAGAGATTTACATAAACTGAATTATGTGATGATGTTTTTATTTGCCCGTCCCTATTTTCAGTACTACTAGGTGAACGATATGGACAGCATATCTACACCTTGTGGTAAACGTGGAACACAGCTGACTTTCAATCTGGGAAGCTTATGGCCTGATCACCTTTGTTTCTGACCAGAATGAAGAGCTCAAAATACAAGCCTAAACTTTCCAGTGACTGCCAGCTGCAGTCATATTTTGGGTTTAGAACAATTAGAAGGCCTCCGTGGGATCTCCCATGACAATCCCTCAAAGTGGTATTTGCTCCCCAAGTTCAGAATATGAACGCAGTTTCTGAATATTCAGAAGTTCATACCCCACATTTCACATAAGAATACATGATCTCTCAGAAATACTGTGCAATCCTGCAGCTAAGGGGTAACACACAATCGTAAGAGCACAGGGAAGAAAATCACCTTCTTGATGCTGTTTTATTAGACACGCTATTAGTAAAACAGTGATAATGGATATACTCATGCTATCCAATATCGCAGGGCCTCCTTGCTTCTTTTGTAGTCAAAGACAGACAGGAGCAGCTCTTGATGCTCAAAACCAGTCTAACCTCAACGTGCTGAACACACGCTAAAAGCCTCTGCTCTTTCCCTTGACTACACCGGACACCTCAGAAGACTCCTAACAAGTTTATAAAGTAACATTGGTAACTACCCCCTGTGTTTTATAGTACAGTATTTAATATCCCCTAATTCCACATTTCAGTGGGGAAGTTAAGCTGAAGAAAGTTTGTCATTGACACCATGCAGATCTTTTGTCCCAACTCAAAAAACCCCCCTGTTATTGATCTAAAGATTACTGGACAGTCTGAAATCCTTATTGGGAAGCGTCTTAAATTGAAAACATCTACAAATCTCCTCCTCCTGCTTTCAGGCACAGAAGGACGGATTGCCTTCAGAAACCTGGATGAATTACCATTCCTCTGCCAGAACACGTGTGTTGTATTTTCTTCTCAACAGTCTCTGCTTTTTATATGCTTAATAAAAAAAGGGAACCTTGAATTACATAATTTATTCCAAGATTTAAAGCTTTTACTCTCCTTTATGCTATGGTTAAGCACTTTGTATTATTTCTTTTTCTCTCCTAGACACAATCCATTAGATTTCACTATCCTTAAAGTTCCTTGTCATTGTCTCTGAAAAAGCAAATTGTTTTATTCATCATTGTCTTATACCTTCAAGATTAGTTTTCGTTCCCGCAGTACTGCTCCCCTGCCATCTTTTTCCCAAAACAGTACCAAGTACTCCAGCAGAAAGGTTGGCTGCTTCCAAATTGTTACTTTACTTAAATGGTAAAATAATTCTCAAACTCTGGGGTCAAAGTTGACCTAACCCTCCTTTCACAGTTCAATCTCTAAACTCCTTCTTCCTCCTAAACTCTCACCTTACACTCTACACATATACTCCCCCGTTTGCACCGTAACTCACAGAAAGTGAGAAAGTCTTCATTTGTTTTCTCTCAAAACCCCCACGATTTCACCCAAAGCTCCATATCCCAGCTAACAGCCACTCCCTACACCTCCCACAGCCGCCTATCTAGTCCCCCTTTAAAAACCATACTCCAAAGCCCCTGCCCTCCCACTACCCTTACTTTCTATCGCTACCCTTAATTTTTTATTTCCCCTCCTCCACAGAAATCCCCTAAGAAATTTCTTCTTACTTGTTAGCACAGCCTCTAACAGACTGTTCCCAACACTGCTTTGTCAGAGCCAGCAAGCCCAAGAACAGCCTTTTTCACAGCACGGGAGCAGCTACCTCCTACCACTCCGTTAGCTCTGACGAGTTTGTCCCTGTGCAAGAGATGGCATGACAAGAGAAGGCTGCAGCCCCCACCCCAGGGCTCATGCTGTATTTATGAACCAGCCTTCAGCCCAGGTGCAGTTTTCAGAAGTGCCTATCTCCTAATTTCAGTTGCACAGCATTCTCTAGTGACACTGAGGAGAAAGGCGAGGAACAAAAAAAAAAAAAACCCCACCCCTTCAAAACAGAGTTTTCTCTAAGATTCTTGCATGCATTCCAGCATTTTAGTTCCTGTTCCATGTTCTGGGTAAAAGTTGAAGATCAGTGTTTTTCAGGACAGTTTAGATTACTGGACCCCACCCTTTCTGAAAATTTTCAAATAAGCTCATTCTTAATAGGTCACTTTCAACAGGATGCCATACCAGTAAATTTTGAGAGACAAGCCCTGTAGTTCTTTTTCTAGTGTATCTTGTCACATGAGAATCATATGGTACCAAGTGAGTTAGCCAGGAACAGCTTACTATAAAACAAGCCCCAGGCATTGTTTCACCACTGGAGTTTGAAAGGCCCTAAAGGGAACCAGTACCTTCTGGTGTGATGCACCGGGCTGCCAGCATGAGACTGAAATCAACAACATGCAATATCCTTTATTACATTAGACCAGCACAAGTTACAGTTTCAAAATTCTGCAATTTCTAAATCGTTTACTTACTTTTGTCACTTCCTCAGCCCATATCTAGTCAGCATTAAGGGGGGGGTGGGAGGGAATAAAAACATACAAACTTAGACATTGGTGGTACTTTAATACAGGATGCAACCATACTTCAGCTTTTAACTACTCTCCTGCCCTCAGAACTTCACAGGGATTTGAGGAGTGTTATAAGTTGGTTGCCCAAACCCCTTCACATACAATGGAACTACAATGAGTAAGGATAGCACTACATCTGTGAAATAAAGTAGATACTGAGGACTGTATGACTTCTGGAATTTACATGTTGCTATTTAAAACAAGCTATTACAACATAAGACATAACTACTTAGAAAATGACATGAATTGGACAAACTACATCACCTCATGGAGGAATTTAAGTTACCTTAATATGTTAAAATACTGGAAAACTATGGAAAGCTATTCTCATTTTAACACCACATTAAGTAAAGACTGAAACAGACAAATGAATGATTCCTCTTGCTAATTCCATTACCGGTTTCCTACTTCACAAGCATTTTTATTGAAACCTAAATTTAATTAAAAATGCTACAGAGGTCTCTCAAACTGAGTATTAAAGCAGTAGCGAGTAGTACAGCAAAATCATAGAACTGCAAGGAATTTACTCTGAAAGTTAATTACTTCAGCTTGCTGTTCCAATTCCCTCTTGCAATGCAGTTCTTTAACCTTCATTTTCTGCAGTTGTAAGATGATGGCACAATCAGGACTTCGATAGGAAGAATGTGCATAAAGGTTGCAGAAGCAAGTTGTAACAAACAAGTTTATTTGTTCTTTTATCTGATCATGACTGAGAAATCTGAAACACTAATTCAGATCAGACCCACTATGCTGTGCAGATCCAAGACCCACACCAGGACAGGCTGAACAGCACAGTCTATGTTGTACATAATTAATTAACCCCTTCCTTTTCCACTTTCACAGTGACGGTGCTAAAACCAGCTGCATTAATGAGTCCTTGCAACAAGTTTAGGATATACTGTACTCTAAGTTAAGACATTAATTTATGTTACATTATTGAGTTTCAGTTATTTGTAAAACATTGCTTGAAGGGAATAATTTCTACATATTCCTGGCTATTTCACATAATTCACTCCTACTCATATTAAAAAAAAATTAGGAAAATGAAATAATTCTTTTCCCTCCAATGGGTGAAATTAATTTCAGAAGTGATAAAAAAAATCAACTCCTTTGCACCTTAACTTTCCTTTCGTAAACTCACAGAAATTAGAATACTGCGCACTTTGGATTATCAGAGATATTCCGATAAAAACAACATCTAATGCTGTACTGACATACGTGTATTTAGTACACTATACCAATCCAGTTTGGAATGGAAAACATCTGAAACAAGACCAAATGAGCTGGATAGCAAGAGGAAACATTTGATAGGAAAATGAATGAACACAGAAGGCCAACAAACCTTTAGCCATTTTACATGCAGCAAGTTGAGCACGTAAGAGACATTTACCATAATGTTATTCTCTTCAGGCTGAGAGGTGTTTAGTTGCTTAAGTGCATAGATAAAAGACAAGAGCAAGTTACAACACTGTGAATATAGCAGGTGAACAGATTACTGGCACAAAGCACTGTAAGCTTAAGTTAAGCAAGACTGTGAACTGAATATAGATAAATAAAACTGTTTAGATTTCTGTTTTAAATACTGATCTCAGCTACTTTGGTTGTACAGTAAACATGTGAGAATGTAATTTCATCAAATATTAAATATTTTTATAACAGGGAAAAAATAATCAAATGTAGGTGCAATTTATTACTTTAGCCTGTCAAAGACAGCAGTGAAACACAAGAGTTTGCATCATAACTCAATACACTTTGCTAACCTATCAGTTCAGCACCATGTCAGATATCTTCCTTCACAAATAAGTGAGCCAGCAGAACATGAACCATTTGCGTCACACCTATATCTAGGTTAGTCTTCACTTCTATATCGCAGAGGATAAAGTAGAGATGCAATTTTTTCACTTCTCTGGGAATTCTACAATCCATTACTTCTTAAATATGCACACTGCTGTTAAAATGTAATTAAAATTGAAGTATTGGCAAGGTAGTGAAGTAACAGGCCTAAAGTTTCATGCTCTACCAGCACTAAATTATTTGTGAATAAAACTCTGTATTACTTGCTATATGAATATTTAAGACTGGCCAAGTAGTAGCAGCAGCAACTGGCAATACTTTTGTCCAAGCACCAAGCTCTGGATGATTACACTGTTCATGGAACTAAAACTCAAGTATAGAGCCTTTCTTTTAATAGTAAGCTTAAGGGGAACAATTTCCTTATGTTCTTTCTATTGCTTTAGAAAGTGACATATATACCTGCTACCACACCACAGGGAAGTTAATAACCAAAATACTTTTTCTGGGTTTTTTTTGGAAACTTAACTGAACAAATCCAAGCAAAGGAATACTACCCATTTCTTCCAAATTCCACTACTAGCTGACTAAAATCCTTCTCTGCTCTCCATTGTTAGTCTTACAAATTAAGAAAGTTTGACAAGTAGAGAAGTACCTTTTGGCATAAAATTTACATAATATAAGGGGAAATGCATGCATGGACATAAGAAATGAAGACAATTTAAATACACAGGGACCATGTGCATGACATGGAGATTGAGACACGGAAGCAGAACTGTCAGGTAGAGATTATGTTGGTTTTTAGAAGGATCACCATCCCAAAGATGTGAGGTGCGTCATCTACGAAGCTCAGTCTCAGAGACAACACTTCTAAGATCTTTCAGGACAGTGATCCATTTGGAAAAGCCAGCAAAATCTGACAGTCCCGCTTCTGCCTCTTCATCATGTACACAGTCCAGGTGTATTTAAATTGCCTGTATTCCTTCAGCATCTGTGTGCATGACCCCTACCGCATTAAGCCTTATGGGAAAAATCACTTCACTATCCATGATTAACTGCTGCACTTTTAGGAATGCAGTCAAAAGATAGCTATGAAAATACTATAAGCATACCCTGCTGAAATTGCATACATTCAATTATCTATTCCTCCATTTACAGGCATTTTAAGAGTTTAAAATTAAAATTTTAATCTTGAACAAGCATTTCCTGAGGGCATAAGAATGGTTAAGAAATGAGAGTTTGACAGTCTCACCTTGTTTGGTGGTGTGAAGTAGTAAACAATATAGAAAGAGTAAACTACAAATATTTTTGATATGGAGAAGTTAAGTCCAGATAGGTTCATCAGCTGGAAATAATTATACATATGCTTCAACACTTGTAGCAATTCAAATGCCAAAACTTGACCTCTGAATGATTTGTGTTTACAACCATCTTGGCAGATTGTAGCAAGTCATTTTTGGCAGTACAGGCTCATCTAGTATAGAACATGGGGAGAATATTTACTTGGTTCAAGTTAAGTTCAACTTGATGGAATATCTAAAAATAGAAGACTAACACCTTGATCAGCAATTTGCTTTCTTTTCCTTGTGTACCAAGGCATTTCTTACAAAGTATCTAGAAAAATAGTGAGGGTAAGCAGCTAGGACTGGAAACATAACCAAGCAGTCAAGTTTATAAATATAGATCAATAAGTTTGAAAGTTATGGACAAATTAAAAAAAAAAAAAAAATCAATCTACTTACTGCAGCTCGAGCTTCTGCAACTTTTGCCTTCTTCAATCTGGTTTTTGCTGCATCCAAATCTAGTCTTTTATTTTGTAATAGTTTACGTTCTTTCTGAAAGCGAGTTAGGTTTGTTTGTGAGAATAGGTACACATACTCAAAAGCAAAAGCCTGTCTACTTGGAAATTTTTTTTAACGAAGTATCACATACAAAAAGGTTCTTCAGTTGAACAGAGAGGCAGAATTAGATCCTAGTTATTCTCACACATTTTATGTTCACAATATGTACTTTTAATAGAACAATAGTCATAAAAAGCAAGTTTTCAGGATTATTTTGATTTTACCTGGTCAAAAGGAAGAAAAATACACCAACGGCACAAATTCTACCTGACTTTTTCTACATTAGTTTGGGGAAAGCAATAATGCACAATTATCTAGAACTTTATTTTGAAGATCTACAGTTACAATTGTTGTGAAATGCTGAAGAATGCACAATTCAACTTACAGTAATAGTTTTGTAGTCTCCTTCAATAAAGTTTCTTAGGGGAGTGAGAAAGTTTATAGCAGAAGTTTGAATTAGTTCTCTGTCTGCTGTCCCAATTCGCTTTTGTGTTTCTCCACATTTAATGAGTGCATTTCCTGCAAAGTTAAAAAATAAAATGTTAGTTTCATAGCAATTCAGGCAGGTGGTTAACAAAACAAGTTTCTACAGGCAGGAAAGTTTAGGCCAGCAGTTTGAAATATAATCCAATGCCATTGCAAGGGCTTTCAAAGGAAATCCAAATCAGCTACCAAAAAAACCACCCCAAGAAAACCCCACCAAACCAAAAAAACCCCCCACACACCCCCAAAAAACCCACCATCCAAACCAAACAAACCCACACACCAAATCAAACCATTTTTATTAATAACAATGAGAACAGATACAGCATTGTAGAAGTGACACTAACTATGACAACTCCATTGTGATCACCTATTTTATAGCTGGATATCACACCTAATTATTTTAATCCGACAACCTCCTTCCCTTATACCACACTTTTGTTTAAATCAGGCGTAGTTGGTACCAAGGAAAAAGCTCACTTAACTACTGGAAAATCATGTGCTTTTCCCCGCCCCCATCAACTCCAACTTCTGAATACACATTTGTACATTAACTGAACAATACTTGGAAATTTTGTTGTGAGTTACGTATTGAAACTGAAGTTAGTGTATCAAGAATACAGTTGTGTTTCAACAGACTGACATGGCTGCATTAGAAAAGACAGTAAGTTTTCAGAGAACTAAAATATTTTGTGATACCACATGAAAGCTAACAGTGTATCTACCTTCATGCTAATAGTTTGTTACTTGCCTGAATTCTAAAAATTCTGCAAGTTAAGGGACAGTGTGCCTGTAAGTACCACTCTGATGTTAAAAAGCAAGACTTGAGGCTGATGATCAGAAGGAAGGCCGCAGATAACGGCATAAAACCATGTGGAAGTAAGAGGAATAAAGCTTGCCATTACTGATTTTGTATCCATAAGTTTTCGGTAAAACTTTTTTTTTTTTTTTTTTTTTTGGTGTATAGAATCATAGAATCGTTTAGGTTGGAAAAGACCTTTAAGATCATCCAGTCCAACCATTAACCTAACATTACCAAGTCCACCACTAAACCAATTAAGGGTAGAGTAGCAATTTCTTGTTTCCTGGCTTGGTGGCTGGGCTATTTATAATGAAAGTAAAAACTAGGAATCATTAAGATTGGAAAGGACCTCTAAGATCATCAGTCCAATCATCAACCCAACACCACCATGCCCACTAAACCATGCCCCAGAGTGCCACGTCTTACTTTCCTTCTTTTGAAAAGGAGCCCCATTATTTCCAGATATAAAGAACTCATTCTTCCCAGAACAAAAGTTTTCCCTCCCACTGCAATTTTGAAGAAAGCAACTGAAGAGAGCTATCACACTTTGATTGCAGACTATATTATATATACAGACACCTATGCATTTCAGTTGGTTAAGTTAAATTAACAGCTAAATCTGTTATCAGCAACTTTAAGAGTTGTAGAGAACACTAGAATTAGGCTTCATAATTAATGCCAGTGTAAAAACATTAGATATAACACCCCCAACCCTCCTGTCATAGGTATATAAATTTGCTGGAGAAGGAAGAAAATTTAGATTATGTTCTACACTCTCATTTTCAGCAAAATATTATATATTAAGAAAAGCAGGAATACTGTAAAGTTAGAGAGGCTTCTTACTAAAGAAGTTAATTTTGTATAACATTTTTGCTCCACACCATAAATAAAATGTGTAAGTGTTGTCAGATGTGCAAATGTGTTCCTTTAAGGAGGAAGCTAAATCCCAGAATTATTTATTCTGGTAAGAAAATTATCCATCCACAAAGACTGTTATCATTCCAACAGCAGGTTCTATTTTAGATTTGGATAGAAACTTCATCACTGATCTCCTAATGCTCAAAGTTATACAGCAGGTCATCTCAAAGTGATATAAAAGTCATTGAACTGTTTTATCTAGAGGAAGACAAGAAATATCACTTTACATTGTTAAGAAAAACTGGATCTGTGCATTTTGACCAGCCGGGTTAGCTCAGTTGGTTAGAGTGTGGTGCTAATAATGCCAAGTTCACAGGTTCAATCCCTGCTCACTGCAGGGGGGTTGGGCTAGATGATCTCTCAAGGTTCCTTCCAACCCAAAGCATTCTATGATTTTTGCCCCCCCCCTATTTCTGCAACACAATACATTTTTAGCTACTACTTACCATAGGCTGTTCCTGGGCCAAATTCATTTCCAGCATCAATCATATACTGGCCTAGTAACTCTGGATTATTCATGCGACTTGGTGCTTTGCGATCCAGCTTCTCATAGACAAATTCTTCTATTCTGGCATCTAAAAAAATGTTTATTTGAAATTATTACTATCATTCAAAACACAAGTTAGAAATAGAAACAAACAAACAAAAAAAGGTAAAAGAAAAAAGAATTTCCAAATCTGGACATTAAACTCAACATTAAGTGAACAACATTAAGCTGAAGATACTGTTCTTGGAAACTGACTGTATTCCATGTTTGCCATGCTATGTTGAAGTGTTTCTTACAGCCATCTGTGAAAGTGAAAAATTATACTTTTCCTCTCCCTACTATCAGCACATTTATACAGTTTTTCAAAGTTTTGTCCAGAAGTCTTCATTGTAAGAGCATAATAGAACACTTCTCCTTAACAAAACCAGTCTTTTTTTTCCCCCTCCAGGAAAAAAATGTGAGAATTGTTCATTAGAGTTAGCAGTATAGGAATTAAGTTCAACAGCTACTGTAGGTTCCCTAATAAGACATTTTGAAAGTTTGGTAGCCCCAGAAAATGTATCCTCTCTTTCCCACTCCCTCTGCTTCCTTGAAATGCTCTGAAACAAACCACTGAAGATATCAGAAAGTGTTTCATTTTGTATTCCCATCTTTCCTTAGTTTGAGCAAGAAAATTATCAAAAAGACTTGTCGTGACTATACAATCATTAATACCCAGCTATCATAATATTAAGCCACAGTATGCCTCTTAGGTGAAAAAGCCTCAGACATAAACAGGGACACTGTTAATTACAATAGCAAACTCCTCAGGTACAACACCTGACTTCTCTGACCACTTGTTTTGGCTTCATAATTAGCTCACTTTATTTATGGAGTCAGTATGAACTAATTTCAGCCTGCAACAGTACAGACAGCCACAAAGCAGCTCTCCAATGAACAAACCTGCCACCGCTTTGATGCAACCAAAAATAATACTATTAATTAGACAACTTTCATCAGCACTGGATTAAATAACCACTCTCTCATGAAGGCCACAAAAATTAACCTGACACAGACAAATGTGGGTACCAGTGCATTCCCTGGCACCAAGGGTGAACCAAAAATGATCCAAATTCATTGTTTTTTCTTTACTCTATCCATAATATTTATTTTTGACTAAGTGACAAAAGAACTGCAAAGTAATCTAAAATTATTGGACTATTACATGGGTCTGACCTAAAGGTACAGTTAAAAATGTGATTGAAGGTTGTTCTTCCTCCCCCAGACAGGGCGACTCCATCAACAACCAAAAGCAGCTCTCTACAGCATGTGATAGTTCTCCCAAGTAGGCTGCCAGACAGCTGAAGTTACATTCACAGACAAAGACCGCTGCTTAACGCTGAGTATTTTTAGCCATCAGAAAAATGACTGGTCAGCATAACTGATATTACCATGTACTATCCTTCTACTGAATCTTCCTCATGCAGTTCTACCAGCCTACAGATAATTATTCAATATTCTACAATGACAAGTTTCTGAAAAAGTCAATACATATTGCAAATAGTGAATTAAATGAACAAGATGACTATTTCCTAGACAATAGCAGAAATTTGAGCTGGAATATTCTGTAAATTCTATTGCATCCTTCCCACAGGATTACTTGTCTTGGGTTTTATGTCTTTTTTAAATACTGCTTTTATGCAACTAAAGGATGCAACAGACTTCCAAAATAATACTTCAAGGATCAGCATTATGAAGAATTTATCTATTTGGCATTCGAGAAGTGCTATCAGCATGTAATTTACCTGTACTAATAAATCCTAACTCAGTATGTCACTACAAGGAGAATATTTATGTTTTCAGTGCAGAGTTATTAGCGGTATTATAATTTTATCATTCAAGCAAACCTAAAGGAGGTTTAGGGGTTTTTTTTTTGGTAATAGTAGTTTGCCCAGTGGCTAGCGACCAGGTCTTGACTTGATCTATACACTAAGCAAATTCCTATAGCTGCCAACTCCAGTACAACTGCTACAAATGGCATAGATAACTGTAGGATGTGAGTCTGAAAGAGATATCCTCAACATTACTACTCATAGCAGAAATTTTGGAAACAAATAAGATTAACACCAGAAAACTACATTTCTTCTATCTATATTTTTTCTCTTATTGTTACAGTAAGAGATTCACCAGTGATGAAAGCATATTTGAAACTCTATTGTATTGCCTAAGTATGGTGTATAAAATGCTGGCAAATGATAAAGATTCAGCATCTGGAGAAAATCATTCTTTAGTAAAAGAACCATTCAAGACAGGCATTTCAGTTCATCTTGCCTGCTTCAAGCTGAATTGTATTGTGCAGACAGTTTATAGTAATGAAATTTCTTGAGCTGCTCCGTCTACTCCATGAAGAACTTCAGAGTTCTTACAGCTACCTAAGAGTTCTGGAATTAGAGTGGGAAAATCAATTAAATGGGAAACAACTCAAAACCCAGTCAACCTGAGACGGACCAGAGTATGGAACTCATGCTAGAGTTTAAAGAGCTCTGGCTAAAGCTTTTCCCATTTGAAGGGTTAAAGAAGTACCAGCAATTGGTACAGTGTCCCTCATTCTGAGTAGCTCTCCAAAATATGCTTTCCCTAACTCCAGCCTTCAAATTTTAAAACTGCTATATTTAGTCATAACTTATGCAATACCTATTGCAGTAAACATTTACATTGGCAAATCTATTAATTCAAACATTACAAACAAGAACTTGAAGGGGTCCTTACTTGGATTTGGCTGCAATAATACTTCTGTTTGTTTCATTATTTTTTCTGTCCATAATTTAGTGCATTCTGCTTTGCTGAGAAGGTTCTCCAGGTGAGCATCCAGTTCAGTCTTCTCTGCTTGACCAAGCTTTTCTTCCGTGAACTATGAGTTAGTCAAACAGGTTGAAAATAGTTAGTTCACAGAAATAATTTCCCAGGACAAGTTTAAGACAGTAACTATTCACTCATATTAGTTGCAGATCATGTTCTCAAAAATATAATCATTATCCAGTCATCAGTAAAAACCTAAAGATGAATTTGGAAGTTAAGTTCAACAACACACCCTTACTATCAGGGGAAAAAAAAAAAAAAGGTGGGAGGGTGTTAATCAGACCAAGGTGAGGAAGGTAATTTACAACATTATGAAGAAATCCTCTGCTCTAGGTACTGAGAGTTCTCACTTGAAGCATTTTGTCCAATTTCACCATAGTGCTCCTTGAAACGTGAGCCAAAAGGAAAGAAAGTCCAGAGGTAACAAAAGCAATTAAAAGATTACTTCAGTCTTGTGTATTTTCTAATGAAGTTTGTCCCTTCTCCCACAGTAAAACCTGAAGACGCAACAGATTCTCATTGCAGCTACCTTTAATGCGTTTAAAAAAATGTCATCCTGTCCACAGCAAACAGGACAAAAAGTAGCGAGTTTAAACTTCGGCATGAAGATTTAAATTAGAATTAGACATTAGAGAAAGCTTTTAAAGACAAGGATTAAAAGCTAAAATAGACTTCCCTGGGAAGTTGTGGATTTTTT